CTTCACTATAACGAGAGTGAGTTGTATTTTGTAGAATTTATGAATCTATGCAAGTCAAACAAGTTAAAATAAACAACTTAAAATCAAGAATTTTTAATTATTAAAAATAATGCTTCTATTAGTTTGTAGTTTTATTCAACATAATAATACAATATTATCATTATTGCAAATTTTTTGCTAAAAATAAAAAATTTTATTTCCTTAAACGGCCCCGGCCCATGAAGTTACGGGTCGGCCTTCGGCTCGGCTGATGGGGTCGAGGTCGGCCATATCACTAATTTAACGGGTTTCACAACGATATGTTAGTTTTGTTCCTTGGGCATCAACCTTTCGAATTATATATTGAAAGAAGTTAAATATATATCAATCAAGAATGGATAAAAATATAGTTCGTTATGGTAGTAAAAAAACAAAGAATGTATGTATAGTATTATATGGTTTTTAAATTTAGACCTCAGTGATTCTCCGCCATTATCATCCAAAAACTATGAGGCACATCTTTTTGCTCCAATTCCATTTTGATTGCAATATTGGCGATGCCCATATCGGCAGATTTTTGATAATAAATAAATGCTTTATATTATCCTTTCAAATCTAATTCCATTTTAATAAAAATGGTCAACATTTCATGTTCCCATTTAAAAATTTATATAACCTCGAAGCATTAAAATTTAAATAAATTTTAAACAAAGTTACATATGTCAACTAATAAGTAATTCAAATAAAAAAAAACAACTTTAAATAGCAATAATTGAAATTTGGAAATTCCATTTAACTTATTTGTGCCTCGCTTCCCTGGGTCGAAAAAGGTTCCCTATTTATTATATTGCTAAAGTAAATACTTTAATCATCGAAATAATTGTGATTTTTTTTCGTCTAATTTTTTTATTAAATTTAATACTTATTATTACAATGTTATAAATCAAACAAGTTTGTCACATTTCGACCAAATTTTTATAATAAATAAAAGCCTTATATTCATCTTGTTCAACACCGGTTCCATGAAGATAACAATAGGCGACATTTTTTATTGCAGTTGTTTCACCCATATTAGCAGCCTTCTGATAATAAATAAATGCTTTATGTTCGTTTTTTTCAACACCAATTCCACTATCATAACAATATCCAACATTATTTATTCCTGCAGCATCACCAAACTCAGTAGATTTTTGATAATAAATGAATGCCTTATGTTCATCCTTTTCAACTCCAATTCCATTATGATAGCAATATCCAACATTATATATTCCACCAACATAACCCATTTCAGCTGATTTTAAATAATAAATAAATGCTTTGTCTTTATCTATTTCAACACCAAATCCTTCTTCATAACACCAACCAACGTTATATATTCCAATAAAATGACCCATATCGGCAGCTTTTTGATAATGAATAAACGCCTTACTTCCATCCTCATTAACACCAATCCCTTTACCATAACAAACACCAACACCAAATATTCCTTCAGTAAATTCCATTTCGGCAGACTTTTGATAATGAATAAATGCCTTATATTCATTTTTTTCAATCCATTTACCAAAACGATAGCACCTTGCAAGAACAATTTGAGCCATAGGATTAATTTGATTTTCCAAACACCACTTAATAATATTATCAGAATTTTGCTTCGTATCTATTAGAAGTTGATCCAATGAGTTAATGACTAAATCCATGTCAGAACATTTTAAACTTTCTTCATTGTATCTATTATATAATTCTTTAACAATTTCGCTAAAATAATTGTCATTTATTTGGGTGGTTTCATTTGATAAACTGACAATGTTTTCTGGACGTTCTGCAGTTAGATTGTTTGACATTTTAAAAACAAAGAAAAATTTGTTACGAAAAGCATTGGTTTTATACAAATTATTCGTAACACAGCCTTAATTAGATGCTTTATGTAACATTACGTCACTAAATTACACTAACGCCCTTAAAAAATTGTGAAACATGATTTTGCCATTTTGTTTAATCATCTAATATCGAGGTTATATACAGTTTTGTACGAAAAAATAGCTAAAAAAATATAACATGAATTTGAAAGCGTTTTATAAAATCTATTCACTTATTCTTGCTCTTGCACTCTTTTTGCTCTGCAAAAACTTGAATGAAAAACAATAGATTTATAAAATAGTAAATTTATAGCAAATACCAAAAAAATTGTTATTCCACTGTAGATTTAAATTGCAGATTTCTAAAACTTTTCATTTTTAAAAAATATATAGTCGGATTTTTTGCGTCCAGATTATTTGATAATCACAATGTTTCTTGGCGATCTTAATCGATCTGCTAACCAATAAAGTCAGTGTACGCTTTGATTAATTATAAAATATATCAACGAGTAAAAATGTCATCCAATTCAAATTTGGTAACAATGTATAGTTACATTATTATTTTTACAAAATTTTACATACGGTAAAATTCACAACTAATGATGTAAATTTTGTAATTTTATGTAATTTATAATTTTAACACGATATTAATTTCTGAGATCAAATTTTCGGTGATTGAGGAGTTATAATTCGGATCATATATTTAAATTAATGATGCATAATGCTGACCGAACTTTCATAAAACCGGTATTTTATACAAAATATGGTTTACTGAAACTTACGTAAATTACAAGTAATTACTTTTGTAACCCTATTCCCACTCAACAAATATTTGGTGTCAAGTAAGTTTCATAATAAAATTTTTATTTATAATTAGCCATGATAGAATTCACAACTGTAATTCATATAAATTAACAGATTCTCAACCACATACCTTGTATTATCACAATTATTGGTAAGTTCGTAGCAAAATTTTTGACAATAAATTATGATAGAATTCATGATTTTAATTCCATTACAAGAAAACTTAATCTTATAGCGCTTTGCAAAAAAGTGTGTGACCTTTTCGATCACGGCGTTACGTGGGAATCGATGATTTTATAAATTTTTTGAGATTTTAAAAAGCTTAAAGATTTTAAATAAAACATTTCTAACATCTATTTCAATACTACCATAATCTACTTTTCTTTATTAATAGTTCTTGTATACAGTAACGACTTGAAGTATAGTCATTATGATAATTATTCAACATTACAAGCTGCGAATACAAGTTAATTCATACAGTGAAACATCTCTAAGTGCACGCCTTAGGACCAGACTTTAACAACGTACACTTAAAAAAAAAAAAAAAAGTGTATTTATGGAAGTCATACATATATTTGGACCAGAATCAAAGTGTGCGTTTAGAGAGGGTGTGCACTTATAGACGAGACGTTTACTGTATAAGAAAGGTTGTGAGGCCAATATTAAAAATTTTACAAAAATTACTTATTATAGGCTGGTTTGGCTCTTGAGGAACCGTAACTAATCCTTTGATATTAATATCGACAAGTTGCAATTGCATCTTTTGTTTTGTAAATAAATTCCATAGTAAAAACATTTTTCGACAATTAAACGTAGTGATATGGGCCGATAACAACACTTTGGGCCGGAGCTGACACTAATATAGTTGGCCCGACTATTTTGCAAAAAAGAAATTTCAGCCAATAAAATCACAGATTAGCCACGCACCTAATTAGTTTTATAACCTTCTCATTTTTGGTGTAATTGATCGTCTAACTGAATTAATATCGTGATTGTCAAAGTCCAGTATGAAGTGTTCAATATTGATACTGACACACGGCTAACATGATAACGTAATGCTTTTGATAAATATAGTAGGTTCCAGAAAGTAGGTTCTTTCATATTAATCAAAATGTTTAGCGCAAAGAACTTATTCTAAGAAGAATCTCGGTTTTATCATAAAGTAGTATAGTCATAGTGGTCTTTTTTCATTAAGTTCACACCGTTATTAGCTCGCTATTACAGAATTATTATGCCCATTAGAAACTTTGTACCATTCAAAACTTCAAGCAATGTTTGGAGTTACGTTACGCATTTATTATGCATTGCTCTCCCGAACCAAACAGTATAAGATGTAACTTATAACAGTTTGCTAATTTAGGAAAATACAGAAGGCAAGCAGATAGGCATATACTTATTTTTGTCATAGTGAAGTCCAAAAAAAAAAAAAACTTCATTATAGCTTATATTGAGAGAATACTATATATACTTCACTATATCAAATTGAAGTTTAATAATTCCGGAATTCAAAAAATTCTTCATTATATCGAATCTTCACTATAACGAGAGTTTACTATAACGAGTGTGAGTTGTATTTTGTAAAATTTATGAATCTATGTAATCTAACAAGATAAAATAAACAGTTTAAAAATCAAGAATTTTTAATCATTAAAAAATAGTGCTTTAATTCTTAATTTTATGATGTGCTTGTAGTTTTATTCAACATAATAATACAATATTATTATTATAGCAAATTTTTTCCTAAAAAAAAATTTTTATTTACCTTAATCGGCCCAGCCCATGAAGTTACGGGTCGGCCCTCGGCCCGACTGATGGGTCGAGGTCGGCCTTTATCACTAATTTAATAGGGTTACAACAATATGTTAGTTTATTCCTTGGGCATCAACCTTTCAAATTATATATTGAAAGAAGTTAATTAAATATATATCGATAGATATGTAAAAAAAGAATGGATAAAATATTGTCGCTATGGTATTAAAAATCAAAGAAAATATGTATAGTATTATATTGATTTTAAATTTAGATTTAATTTTAGGATCTCAGTGATTCTCCGCCATTATCATCCAAAAATTATGAGGTCACATCTTTTTGCTCCAATTCCATTTTGATTCAATATTTGCGATGCCCATATTTACAGATTTTTGATAGTAAATAAATGCTTTATATTATCCTTTTCAAATCTAATTACATTTTAATAAATTGGTAAACATTTCATTTTCCCATTTAAAAACTTGTATAACCTCGAAGCATTAAAATTTAAAACAAAGTTACATATGTCAACTTAAGTAAAAAAAAAAAACAAATAGCAATAATTGAAATTTGGAAATCCCATTTAACTTATTATGCCTCACTTGAATCATCCTAATCTCCCTGGGTCAAAAAAGGTTCCCTATTTATTATATTGCTAAAGTAAATACTTTAATCATCGAAATAATTGTGATTTTTTTTCGTCTAATTTTTTTATTAAATTTAATACTTATTATTACAATGTTATAAATCAAACAAGTTTGTCACATTTCGGCCAATTTTTTATAATATATAAAAGCCTTATATTCATCTTGATCAACTCCGATTCCATGAAGATAACAATAGGCGACATTTTTCATTGCAGTTGTCTCACCCATATCAGCAGATTTTTGATAATAAATAAATGCTTTATGTTTATTTATTTCAATGCCAATTCCATAATCATAACAATATCCAACATTATTTATTCCATCAGCATCACCCAATTCAGCAGATTTTTGATAATAAATGAATGCCTTATGTTCATTCTTTTCAACTCCAATTCCAGTATGATAGCAATATCCAACATTATATATTCCACCAACATAACCCATATCAGCAGATTTTAAATAATAAATAAATCCCTTATATTTATCCATTCCAACACCAAATCCTTGTTCATAACACCAGCCAACATTATATATTCCAATAAAGTGACCCATATCTGCAGCTTTTTGATAATAAATAAATGCCTTATCTCCATCTTTATTAACACCAATCCCTTTACCATAACAAACTCCAACACCTAAAATCCCTTCAGTAAATCCCATTTCAGCAGATTTCTTATAATGAATAAATGCCTTACGATCATTTTTTTTAACCCATTTACCAAAACGATAACACCTTGCAAGAATGATTTGAGCCATAGGATTAATTTGATTATCCAAACACCAATTAATAATATTATCAGAGCTCTGCTTCGCATTTATTAAAAGTAGGTCCAATGAGTTTATGACTAAACTCAAATCAAAACATTTTAAACTTTCTTCATTGTATCTATCATACAATTCTTTAACAATTCTGATAAAAGAATTGTCAATTATTTGAGTAATTTCATTCGATGAACTGACAATTTCTTCTAGATGTTCTGCAGTTAGATTATTTGACATTTTAAAACCAAGAGAAAAAGTTTATTCTGAAAAAAATCAGCGTTATATAAAATCATTTGTTATACTTCCATATTCGGAAGCTTTATGTAACATATAGGTACATTACATGCTAACAAAAGATTGTCAAAAGCGCACCAATCAGATCTTCGATATCATCAGATAAGGTGGAACGACGTCTTCTAAAAAACTGCTGATCTCAAAATTTTATATCTTCGCGCATATATTGCTTGCAAAATTTTGGTATAGTATAGGTCACAATAAGATCATAGACCAAACGTAACCTAGGATTTTATTACTTCAAAATTATTGCGTATATTCGGTTGGTGCACACGCCAAGATCTTTCATAAGTAATTGTATTCATAGAAAATCGTTGTCGGGTACTGTATTATTAAAATATCCGGGTTACCATTAATCATTTCATCTTCAATTTTTTTTTTCGACAAAATTACCAACATTAAATATACCATTCTACTATAAATTTGTAACATATATAGAAATTAAAGATTTAAATAGGTTTAAAAAAAAGTTATATATGCCAACTACTAAGAAATTTAATTAAAAAAGCTTCAAATTACAATAATTAAATTTATTTCGATCCATGTGTGTCTCACCTGAACTATTCTAATCTCCCTAAATTTAAAAGGATTATTTATTTATTATATTATTAAAAATCTACAATTACAGCGAATAATATACTGTCAAAATTATTTTGTAGCATTTTTTTTTCTGTTTGATTTTTCATTCATAAAATTATCGTAACTAATATCAAAAATTAACTATTATAAATACAAAATTATTAATAAGCCAAGTTTGTTACATTTCAGCTAACTTTTTATAATGAATAAAAGCCTTATATTCATCTTGTTCAACCCCGATTCCATAGAGATAACAATGGCCGACATTTTTTATTGCAATAGCCTCACCCAAATTAGCTGATTTTAGATAATAAATGAATGCTTTATGTTTATTTATTTCAATACCAATTCCATAATAATAACAATATCCAACAGCATATATTCCTGCAGGATATCCCATCTCGGCAGACTTTTTATAATAAATGTATGCATTATGCCCATCCCTTTCAACACCAATTCCCTGAAGATAACAACATCCAACATTATAAATTCCTGCAGTATGTCCCATCTCAGCAGATTTTTGACAATAAAAAAATGCCTTAGATCCATTCTTTTCGACTCCAATTCCATGAAGATAACAACATCCAACATTATATATTCCACCAACAAATCCCATTTCAGCAGATTTTTTATAATAAATAAATGCTTTATGTTTATCCATATTAACACCAAATCCTTGTTCATAACACCAACCAACATTATATACTCCAATAAAATGTCCCATATCGGCAGCTTTTTGATAATAAATAAATGCATTATTTCTATCTTTATTAACACCGATTCCTTTACTATAGCAAACACCAACGCCTAATATTCCTTCAATAAATCCCATTTCAGCGGACTTCTGATAATGAATAAATGCCTCATAATCATTTTTTTCAATCCATTTACCAAAACGATAACACCTTGCAAGAACAATTTGAGCCATAGGATTCATTTGATTATCCAAACACCATTTAATAATGTTATCAGGATTTTGTTTCGTATTTTGTTTCATATTTATTAGAAGTTGATCCAACGAGTTAATGACTAAACTCACATCAAACCATTTTAAACTTTCTTCATTATATTTATTGTATAATTCTTTAACGATTTCGCTAAAAGAATTGTCAGTTGTTTGAATAATTTCATTTGTGGAACTATCAATTTTTTCTGGATGTTCTGTGGTTAAATTATTTGGCATTTTTAAACCCCCCAAAAAAAAAAATTGGCACAAAGTGCAATAGCACTATTATATAAAATTTATCGTGTAACATGTGACTCATCATGTGAACGGCAAATGCTTCTAAAATCGCTGCGAGATTTTACAAAAAAAACGGTCTCGAATCCCATTACTAAGCCCCAGAATAATGAATTGCCAAAATCGTAAAGTGGTGCACAAATCGTAAACAAATCGCCATTGAATCGTAAAAAACTGTCATCGCACAGCCACAAGATCGATCCTTTAAGAGGAAGTTCAATTGGTAAATTGATTGCCAAATCGGGATACGAATGAGGTGATAAGTTTGTGGTCGTCATTTTATCTTCACGAAAAGTCGACAAAAAAGGGTAAATAGTACGATGAAATGAATGAAAGATTATAGATCAAGGAGGAAATTTAGAAGCCTGTCGACGAAGTGGCAATTGCAAAATCAGATAACTTTACGAACCACATATGTATTTGTTGTTCTGCCTTTTACAGCAATAAATCCCTGAATTTCTCGTTAGAAACAGGTAATTTCTAGTTAATGTTGTGATCGCATACGATAATCATTGTTGAGTGTTATCAGATGGGACACTTGAAGATCAAGGAACCCAGTGATATCTTCGTGATAATCACATCACATGAAATCATGCAACTACGCCATTTGTTTACTAGCACTAAACAAATTAGCCTAAACTAACCTATCACCTAACCCTAACACTAACCCTAACGTACTAGCACTAAACAAATTAGCCTAAACTAACCTATCACCTAACCCTAACACTAACCCTAACGTAGGCCGAACACTTAATCATGTGATGTGATTATCACGAAGATATCACTGGGTTCCTTGATCTTCAATCTTTCCTATCAGATGAGTTAACAAAGTAAGGATGTATTTATATATTTCTAAGTAGACCAATGAGGTGAAAGGATAAGGATTACGTAGGTGTTGAAATGTTGCTCACCTTGTAGTGAAGGCCGGCTTTATCACTCCTCTTCTTCCCTCCATGTCCACAACAATTTGATGACCTTGAAAAACAAATCGCTGGTTTGAAAGCTATAATATAATTTATTGCTAATATAAGTTCCCGATTTCAGTTCTCGTAAGGTTTTCAGGGGTTCTGAACATTTTTACTTAGAGTACCCGATCCCGTTTACTTAGTACGTTTTTGAGATACAGTATAGCAACACCGGTGATGATCACTAATGGCGATAAATAGCAAACTTCACTTTAATTATAATGTATTTTATTACACAAAATCGAAATTAAGCTTTTATTAAAATTACAAATAACAATAACAATACGAATTAAAGTTACGCATCTAATTAAAGTTACGTAACTGATTATTATTACGTCACAATGGGATTGCCGTAAAATTCATTGGGTCAATTCTACTGATGACATCTAAATCTGAAAATATTTAAATAATAGTTGGAATTTTACGTGTGGACGAGAAAGACTATTTTTAAATGAATGTTAATAATATAATCTAGTTCAAAATAATAATTAGGGATGGCAAATGTTTTAAAACACGATCTTAAAAATCTCGATTGTTTGATTTTTAATTGTTTAAAAATGTTTTAAAACATTATGACGTAATCATCATATATAAATAAAATTACGCAATTCGATTTAAATAAATAAAGTTATGCAATTCAATTTTTTATTATTGCGGTTTGCATAATTTTGTGACCCCCCATGATTACTAATTTTTTTTAAAATGATTGTGATTGTGATAGTGATTACGATTATAATTGTGATTGTTAGATCGATCGTTCTCATAACTTTTCAAATATGCCTCATCCACTTAGTGAAGACTTGAAGTGGAGAATTATTTATCTTTACCA